CATTTTCTTAAACTATTATCCTTTACATCAATAATATGCACATGAGTTAAGAAGTAAAAAAATGAATCATAAGATAAATCATAACGTACTTTTGTTTATATCACAAGTATGTAGAAAGTTTATCTAATTGTCTCCTGCGCAGTATGGAACAATAGATAAAAAAAATTTAAAATTTTCGAAGAACTTCTCCTGACATGAGAAAACATTTATTTTATAAATTATATTTTCATTTTAAGAAATATACGTTAGTGTTTGCTACACAAATAATAGTAGGACTTAAGGTCGTACTATACAGTTAAATTATATCAAAGTTTTAACGCAGACAAACACAAAAGAAAATATGTGGAGTGGTAGTGGGGGGGGGGCGTTGAGGGGACAGAAAAATCATGTAGTTAGACAGTAGATTGGTGGTGGGGGTTGTTGGAAGGATGGTTTAAGTCTTTAGAGGGTAGTAGAGGGATAGTGGGGGTTACATGAAATGCTCCACACGTGGAGTCACATAATATAGGAGTATATATACATATATGTCTATACAGGTACCTAGTATAAATGTCTGTTTAGCATAAGCACATGCCGTAATATGGTGATATATATTTTATTGTTGTTTACCTGTCAACGAAATGTTCAATATATCATGAACATTGTTAACAAGTTGAAGGAAAAGATCGCAGTTAAGTGCGCATATATGGTATCTACTACTTAAAGCTAGGAAGAGACTGTATGGTGCACGCATATATCTATTACCATCTGCCAGTAGTCCAAGCTATATGTATGTCTACATGTGGTATCTCATAGTGATTTTTTTACTATTTTAATTTTAAGAATTTGCTTTACGCAAAGACAACCAAACTGTTAAGCTATTCATTGATTTCTCCTTTAGAATGACTACTTTTTTCCTCTGATATCTCAGTATCCGTTTACTAATAATCTCTAACAGTTTTTTTGTTTTATTTTTACTTACAACGTTATAAGTCACGTTTCTTATTTAATATTGTTTTCTAAAGATAGATACAACAGTTGTGTTATTATTAAACTATATTTCATCCTTGCTTCATCTTGAAAAATGATTCTTCTTCATCTTAAAATATTATGTTTAAGAAGTATTTTTTTATATAAATGTATATGCAACTATATCTTCCTATATTATATAGTTACTTTTGCGAGGCTGTTCACATGTCTCCCTCACACCCTCCATGGTCTCTCCACAGACCCCCCTGAACCCCCTACAATGTGAGGAAAATTTTTTCCAATTTCTCTAAGAATGTAGCCTAACAAAAATGGAGTAAACTTCACCACGGCCCCAATTTTCTTTTCACAGCTCTCCCGCGTAAACTTAGTGTCCCTTCGCAGCCCCTTCACTACTTTCCACTAAAACTTACAATATTTTAAGAAAATGTAGTAATTATCTTATTTTAATGAAGATATGTTAACGATAAGTATATATGGGGACATTCGCCGATCCTACATCTCTCACCTACATCGTTTTACGAAAACTTTGAATTAATTATAAAGATACTTTATCATAAGTTTATTGTAGAATACTTACACCTACAGCTTCTCCTCTTTCGCTATATTATCTTTTAATTTTTTGTGAGATTACTTTTAAATCGGTACAACAGGGGTAAATTTGCCATCTCCTTTCATGAAAGAATATAAATTTGTTTAGATGTCTGTTATTTTTGTATTTGTCGGAACCTCACCTCCACTAAGCAATAACTTTAATTTGTGTTTCTTCTATATCATTAGTTTGTGTCTAGGTAACAATAAATTTGATTGGAAATTTAAACTTTCCAGACAAAGGTAGATGACGAGGTTGTTATAAAAATGAAGGGAGCTTGGTTCTTCCTGGACTTGTAAAGCCGGAAAAAAGCTCCACTACGCTGACTCGGTTATGGCCCTGACAAGGGCCGATCGATGGTGTTGTGCTTTTTTATGAGTGTACGACGGTTCCATGGTGCGGTACCGGAGGTTTCACGAGTAACTGCTTCTTCACGTGCTCCAACCACTGGGAGTCTCTTAGCCCAGGAAGTTTCACCCTGAGTGACCGGGGTCCAATTCAAGGTGTTTCGGCGTACGGATGACGTGCCGGAGGGCGGTGAAGCCTGGGTCAAGTCGGCTTCCTTACTGCTGCCAGTCCCTCGCTGTCCCGAGTTTCCACTACCACTGAAGTTCAAGCACGTAGACTCGTCACCCTGGGTGGCTCGGGGCTAGTCAGCGCTGGTTGGGCTAAGGGAGACCTGGAGGCCAGGTTCACTCGTCGTGACCAAGTGGGAGCCTGAGCCGACACTGTGGAAGCTAGGCTTGGGTTGGAGGCTTCTGGAGTGGATCGCTCCTTCTGATAGTAGTTCTACAGGTAAGTATTTGTGGGTGGAATTGCCACTACACTACGTGGCTGGGTGGTTAACTTAGATGTGCGTCTCCTGGTGTTGCGCCGAATTCATTGCCTCTCCAATCGTTTCTTCTTGTTACGCAGACCCACCGTGGAAGGTGCATGAAGTGCCTCCGACGCCTGCCCAGGTGTGCTGTGGTAGAGTAGCTCCAGGACGGTCTCTGTGTCGAGGGTCTGGGTGGCCACTTGTTCTATGAATGAGACGTGTGGGTCCCGCAATGGGGAATGGAGAGACCGAGGTAAATAAGTGGACGCCGTGTTGGTGAGCAACTGCTCTTTATTGATTCAAATGGCTCTGGTTGGATTGCTCCCGAGTTCGCTGGGTGGCTCGGGAGATTTAATCGGTAGCCGGTGTGTCCAGCTGGCCGATGACTCCGTGTGTCGCCGTGGTGCAGGACCGACTGTCCCGAGGCCTCGAAGGCGCCCGCTTATATGGACCCTGCTGTGGCTTCACCGATGTTACGGTGAGGTGGTAACAATTGTGCGTAGGTGTTTAGTGGAAGGGGTAAAACTGAATACCACTGTACACGCCCTTTTCGGGGCCATCAAGGTGAAAGATCTTAATGATATATAGAACAACATTACGTTTAAGCCGTTTTATTAGATACATAAAGCTTTTTTGATTTAGTTTGCACAACTCTTTGGCAATGGTGATAGTATGTAGAGTGTGCAAAGGTAAGCTTATAATAATTGATTAGTTTGCAAAAGTATTGCTAAAATTATAATAGTTTTCATATTTTCATATTTTATTTTCAAATTCAACGTACTACTATTTTTGACGAGACTTTTTTTTTTGGAAGAAATAATAATCTATAAGCAAAAAGATGATCGATAAGCCTATGCAGTTAAAGTTGAAAATGAAATTCATCGTAGTCTCTGTGATAAGCAAAATTGACGAAATTAACTGAGTCTCCTCATCAAGTGGTTATGATTGACATAAATGTTTACGAACATCAGTCAGTGTTCTACACTTATACAATTTCTAATATTAATTACAAAGCAATTAAAAATCGTAATCATAATGTGACGACATAGCCAATATATTACTAGATACATTGACTGTTGGTAATGTTGGTTACCGTACTAGCCTACAAAACTGCACTTTTCCTAAACTTTTCATCAGTATGAAAAATTAATCATAGGAGTTAAACAGTCATTTAGCTTCAAAATTTATTCACTGGTGTTACAGTTATAGGTAAAATTTTAATTAATACTTTGTTAGATTGCATCAACTTCTTGTAGCGTCTGTAAGACGTTAACAAACTGAGGGGACTAGATACTGAGATGTTGCTACGATGCAGTGCGCTATACATGTCATGTAAGCAACGAGTAGTTTTAACGCACTCCCTTTACAATACTCAAGATTCTTTCTCATGCGTTCAAATTAATTTGTATATAATTAGATTGTAATGTTATAATGTTTTTAAACAGCCGTATAGTAACTTAGACTTTTGGTTGAGCACTACAAATAGTAAGTTATACTGATGAATAATCAATTTTAATAAAAACAAAACAAATATCTTAAACATTCATGAATTGGAGGTAAGTGAAGCGATGAAAAATAAGTTGTTGTGCATTTCAAAATTATTTAAAATGCACTGAAATGTTACAAAATAATAATTTATTTTCATTCAAACAAAGACAAATATTATTAACGTTATTTTTTAGAGATTGTGTAAAGACCCTTCAAGAATTGCTGGGGAACTATGTGATGAAAAAAAATTTCCTTACAAGTTATACCAAAAAAAAAAATAGTTCAGCCTAACAGGGTATTACTTCTGATGTTGCTACCTCATTGAATAAACATGAAAAGAAAATAACTCCCAACACTTTATCTAGAATTATGTATTTCGATTTTTGTAAAAGTCTTATTAACATAAATTTATCTTACAATTATATTATAACTGTCTACTAGATGTTCAAAGAATGATTGGCACATTTTGTAAATTTGTTATTGCAAAAAAAGTTCAGTCTTACACATTCTCTTCCATAAACTGAATAAAACATTTAATTTATTTAGGCTAAGTCAGCGATATAAAAGCCAAATTGTAAATGGTTAAATATCATCATATGAGAAGTTAGTATGTAAAAATTAGATACAACGCAGCATATAAAAATCGTACAAACGAAGACACTGGGGTAAAAACACTATAGGAAGGAAGAATCTTGGTTTCAATTATCTTTTATAGTGCCACGTATAAGAGAGCATTTGATTGACAAAAACAAGTAAGCTCTTGTTGCAACGTTGATCTTAAATAGATATTATTAACAATTATCATGTTACATTTATAAATATTTTTTATGTCATACAGATATAAAATTTATGCGAAGAAATAAGGCCAAATATATAATTTGTACATTGACATCAGATTACGTTATACTTCCCAAATTATATTGTTATATTCCACTACTGAATAGTCAAAATCGAAAGATTCACGAATTGTTTACTTTTGGCGTACCTTTAATGATAGACTGTTTGAAAATAATCATAAAAGCTTAGTTAAACTTTCTAGATGTGACAATAATAACCATGATTATAATTTATACTAAAAGGAAATACTTCAAAAATTTTAGAGACAAAATTATCTCATTCAAACGTCCTTTATTTTAGATTGGATCCAGCCCTGAGCAAGAGTTGAGAGCTTCAGAAACTCACATTCAATGCAAACAACTAGAGAGCTCATGCCTATCGGAAATAGTAAACAGTTACAAATTAAATAGCAGTACATCAAATGCATGTCGAGAAGTTGTGAACTCTAAGCATACAAAAAACCAAAGTGACGGAGTGTAATATATTTGTAATTAAAATTTTTTTTTGGACTAAGAAGAAATATTAAAAAGTATTAATATTCTTATAAAAAAACTAAATCTGTTATTTATTGCACTATTGTATAAATAATAATTGTACATTACACATTGATCATTTATAGATAACTGTAACGTGAATAATATTTTTTCTAAACATAAACACTACGGTTACAGAATGCAAATAGACCATTTCATGTTTACTGCTTTGTAAAGATAATCTGAAAGTAACTAATAGCTATAACTAGAATGCAACGTTTGGCTCTCTTGATAACTATTCAAGCGCAAACTTATACATTTTTAAAAAAGAAGATATTTGTATAGTATGAAGAAGTTATATTAAGAGAGTTAAAAAAATATTTTGCAGAGTAGCATTTTAAAATCTACTCTTAAAGTTTTGTAGTAGTTACACTCTTAAAAAAAAGCTTTAAAACATATAACGTTAAAAAATAAGATTATATGTTTGCTACGTTTGAAATGTTACATAAAAATAAATTTCACAACTATCGACACACATTATATCAATAACACAGATGATGCACTTACAAGGAAATTGAACAAGCTCACTAATTTTTGTTGTATATTAAAAAAAAGGCAAGAAATAATAAAAATAAACAAACTTTTATTTTAAACGTGAATCTTGAATTGAATGGATAAAATACTTTTTATCACGTGAAATGTATTCTGATGAAAGATTTTATATAATTTGTTTGGTTTCAGAAGGTTAAGTATCGCATGAATCTCTAAAAGTTTGATGAACTCTTTCCAAAACCTTTCTTTGGCATCATTTAAACTTTATCCCAACTATGTAAATAAACTTCTTGCAATTTTTTGAGATTGCAGTTATAGTGATGCACTTTTAACACTATCTAATTATATTAATGATTGTAAAGTTTTATAACATGATTTTTTCTTTCAAAGTAATATTGAGTCTACTTTTTTGCCATATGTTCTATCATTTGTGTTATTTTTAATTTTTTACTACTACTTGAGGATATACGTAGATTTTACAATTTTCACATGACTTGCATTCGAATTTGAAAGTTTTGTTGAACCTAATAAGTGTATTCATTCCCTCATTTCCTAAAAAAAAATTTGGAACTTACTTTTATTTACATTTTATATCTCATTTTCCAGAACTTTTTCCAAAAGTAAAAACCATGAACAAGATGATTGTAATTAAAATGGTCTTGTAGCAGTAACTATTTTCGTAATAGTACATTACAGTACTAGTGCGCAGGAAAGGCGATTACAGTTCATGCGTCAATTTGCACATTCAATAGCCCTCATGCGAAGAATAACGTGTGTCAGTCACATAACCTCTCGAACGTGTGGTGGATACAACTTTTCGACGAAGCGTGTGCAGGGAACGAGATTAAGAGCCATCTAATGTGGCTATGTAAAGACCACGACGTACATGCACACTTGCACGAGTGCGCTCTACGATTTGTGAGTAGCGTGTGTAAATCAAGATCTATAGAGTCACAATAGATGTCTTAAGATCGAGTCCCTGCGTACAGTATGTCGAAAAAACGTTATTTGGAATGAGGTTCTAGTCAATTTTTACTTATCTTTTTTTTAAACTCTGCTATGCCTTTTTTCTACGCTTTTCTTAATTTTTTAAGAGCTGAGAACCAATTGTTTATTTTATATTTATTTTTTAAAAAACTGCCCTAAGACTTCTAGAAGAAAAACATTTAATATATCTAGAAATTCAATATGACCAATAGGTATACAAGCGAATGTACATACATCTTAATCATTGTACCAAAATTTAAATATGTATAGATGGAGACACTTTTTATACAAGGACTATTTATCTTCTATACATGCCCTTTTCATCAATATTCAATATACTTAAGACTCACAATACTAAGCCACATAATTTTTTTTTTTAAGAAATTTACTTAAGGAATAAATAAGAATGAGAAAAATATCCTTTCCGAGTAAAGATCAAACACACAACCTCCTGTATACTAGACAGTTGCTCTACCACTTGAGGTACCGATTTCTACTTTTTATTTGAATATAGTTTATCTACGTGTTGTCGTCAGTTCAAATTGTTAGTTTTGTTGTTAAAAATGTAATTTTTTGAAATATTGACATACTTTATGTTCTTTCAAAACAGTCTTAAAATAAGCTAGTGTAAGAGTTTTTGACTTGGGTATTAACTTTTTTAATACAGCTTTTTCAATGACTAATTCTTTCTGTTTTCAAGATGAACTGTTAAACAAGTAACTCTTTGACTTCTAAGTTAACATAAAATTATGTTAGAGACAATATAATTACGATTATAAATATACCTTGTATGAAACGATATTGTGTACAAAGGTGGTAGAGTTATTGTTAGAATTGGTGTACCTCCGTTGATTAGGTGTGATTTTCATAAATATTTGAATAGTTGATGAAATAACGATTATACGTATATATTACGGCGTAACACAGTACAAGGAATATGTATACTGGCCAGTAAAAGACTGTGTGCTTTCATTAAATCTTCCGAATATTTCAAACTTTAACTTTAAAATATGAAAGTATCTAAAAGGTCAAGAAGAACCATTCTAAATTATCGCATTCTTCGATAGAGTAGTATTACATACCAGTGAATATTCCTTTAAGAAGATTTGGGAGAAAAGTTAAAAATGGAGAGAGGTGCCAAAAATATGTAAAATATATTTGAGCATGTTAGGAGTGTAAATGAATTTTTCAGATTTTTCACCAGGGAAAATTTTCGAGAAAAAATAATGAAATATTAACAGTTTAATATGGTCTCTTATAAACGAGCAAGGTAAGGTTTTCTTTTTAATTGAAACTAAGATATATTCTAAATGTATTGGAGTGAAAAAAAACGTTTACATAAATACACGGTACAAAAGGAAGATTCTCAAAAAAAAGAAATCATGACCTGCCACGCGTTGTTTCAAAATGTAATCAATTATAGTCGTACAGTTTCAAGTTTGTAGAGTGTAAGCGGATGTGCGTGGTAAAGGGGTTGCAGATGCGCGGTCAGGGTGGACTCCCCATTCCTCGCCTCTCTGAATGAATCTCCAAAACCTCCTAAATACGCTCATCACACGTAGGTTTTTTTAACACATATTAGTGAAACATTATATTTTTATACTCGGTCACATTAAAAAAACCCAAAACAATCGGAGATCGTTTGAATGTATCTTTTTTTATTGTTTAATTTTAAAAAATCGCAGTTCTACATGTAACCGTATTAAAAGAATCACGTGAAATCTGACAGTAGTTTTACATACAAACAAAAATTAGAAGATTTTACAGAAAATATTAATTTTTAGCTTCTTTAATTTCTTAGTAAATTCATGCGTACTTTGACTTTGAATCGATGCCTATTCAGGGTGTTACTAAGTACATGCAGAGTTTAAGTTGGGTTTTGTTATCAGATAGTGTTAATGTCCAATTAAATACTGATAAGTCTTAGGACGTACTACAGCATTTTATCTAATTTTTGTCTTTAAAAATCGGTATATGCTGAATACATACCGTGCAGGGTACTCTTCAGCCTCAATTAATCTTACAATTGAGAAAAAGAGAATGCATAAGACTTTGCTGAAGTCGAGTTTGTTGGATGACTTTATTGAGTTTAAACGTTTTAGGGCTGTGTGTATTAGGACATTGCGCGAATGTTATAAGCAATATACGAATGAAGTTAAACATAAGATGTATAAAAATACTAAAAAATTTTTAAAATATGTTAACAAGATGCGCTCTGTTTGAGATGTGCCTCCTACCATTAGCTATGGAGGGCGTGGTGCTATGTTGATAGAGCCAATTTGTTTTCTGATAACTTTGATTCTGCCTTTAAGAATAAAATTGATTTCGTTGACGCCTCGGATCTTGACGTCAAAGCGGTGCCAGGGCAGCATGACTCTCTATCGTTCTTCCATGGTAAAATCCAGGAGTTAGTAATTGGTATTAAAACTTATACAAATAAAGGCCTACAGTTGTTTCTTGCATCCTTTTTAAGGCTTGCAATTATGTGTTTCCTGAGCCTCTCATGATTCTCGTTAATCAATCGTTGGCAACTGGTTACATGCCATAGTGTTGGAGATTGTCTCAGGTCATTTCTGTAATTGAAAAGGATAAAAAGGCTTATTACAAATAATAGACCTACTTAAATCCTTAGAATTCTGGCTAAGTTGTTTACTAAGCTTATTTTCTCAGAGAAATTAATGTATTAAGTCATGTTTTGGTTAGTATATTGCAATAGTATTGGAGAGGCTTTAGATGTAAATGTCCAGCTTGATTCAATTTACATTGATTATAAAACGGCGTTTGATTCTATAAGCCATAAAATACTAGTCCAGACATTGCTTAGAGTTAGTCTTAGGGGATCTCTGCTGAAGAAGTTTATCTCGTCCTTTACTGAGCATAAGTAGATTGTTGTTTTAGATGGGGCTGTATCTAATGGTGTAGTTGTTAAATTGAGAGTCCCTTAGGGGTTGCACTTGGGGCCGATTCTGTTTTTCATTCATGTTAATGATTTTTAGGAATGTTATACATGAATCTCATATTCTTTTGTTTGCTGATAACATCCAATTGTATAAATGTATATATAAAGATTCAGATCATGAGATATTGCAGCGTAATCTTGATGTTATTGTTTATTCGTGCGATGTTAATGGTCTTATAGCTAATGTAAAGAAACATTTTATGATTCCGTTCTCTAAGGCTAGGAAGGTCGTACTTCATAACTTTACTCTTGGTCTCTCATTACTGGCAAGACTGACTAAAATTTCTAATTTAGGTATCCTCTTCAAGAACTCTCTTACTTTTGACAAATAAATTAGCAATGTCTTGTTGACGGCATGCAAGGCATTCAGATTTTTTATGAGAAGCTGCAGCGATCTTACTTATGTGTGCACACTGGTTCAGCTACATAGAATCCTTGTGTTACCTCAACTATTGTATTTCTCCTAGATCTGAAAACCATATTTGTAGCCAGCGATATATTATATTGAA